TGTTTCTCATTGGCTTGCCATGCCTGTTGCTGCTGTAGTGGCTGGTGCACGCGGGGATACGAATACGGCTTCCGAGCCTGAGCAGTCGTCACTTGGTTACCACTTGGGGGTAATGGACTCTCCGCCCTAGGCTCTCTTTCTACTAGCCCATGAACAACAAGGGGCTCACTGGGTCGCCATATTAATGACGACTGCCGTCTTGGATTGCGCAAATTATCAGCATTCCAGCTGTGCGGATGACATACACCACAGTGACCTCCACTGGCAGGATGTGCGTGAACATTCTCTCGAGGGTATTGTGGAGGAGAACGATTTGAAGGTCTTGAGTCGCGCAAATCACATTCCCCGTTGAGCCGCAAAATCACCTGCTCGGCAATATTAAGTCTGTCATCATTTGGAAGCGGTTGTGGTCTTACTGGCTGAGATGGTCCGGAATCTCTCACTTCCAGTGCCTTGTTGAGTTCTGCGAGCGCGTCATCGGCTTGGTTGTCAAGCGGGCCTTTTTCGTCTACTGAAACATGCAGTGGCTTGATAGGAGATAAGGCTGAATTATCATCAGTGCAGGAAGTCGTGCTTGATTTTTGTAAGCCAGTGGATTGCTCATTTTGCTCCTCATGGGACTCTGCGATTTTGAGGTCTTGAAAGCCTTCTAGATCTTGATCACCACCCAATCTGTAACGAGATCAGAATAATGCTACCATGAAGAAGAAAAAAGAAAAAGAACTTCGTTTCCATGTCAAGTATTTGTTGATAAACTCAAAGTAAAATAACACAGACCTTCGTAATTTTTTTCTAATGATAACGAGCTACTGTTATACCGATCTTTTATTCCCATTTGTGCCTGTGGCAAAACGGGCGTCTTATTTCCCTACTAGAATACCATCCTGATATTCAAAAAGCCTTCTCACTATTCGAAAACCCCTTCTTTCATTTGTTTCAAAATAATTTATGCGCGTACTTTAGGCATACGAGGGTGCGATGAGATTCAGTGGACATGGTTGTAACCTTATATTCTTGCGATTTAGAAGCATTTATACGAGATGATCATCAGTACTTTAAGGCATAAGTCATTTATTCTAGCACCTCAGATTAATCATAAAATTTGACGGAGAAAAGAAGACTAAATATTGTTTAAATGCTTGATTGGTTTTGTTTTT